ATCATCTAAATATAGTGAAAGACAGTAAAAGTAGTCATTGTGCAGATTGGTCCATTTCAGAATAATATATATGATATGTTTTATAATGATTGATCATGAAAGTGTTCTCAAAGCTGGTAAAGGTGCAGCTAGTTTGAATGACTTTGTATACTGCAGGGTAGCTTGTGGATTTACTCCAGGTGGAACTAAAGTCTGATTTAACACTTGATTATATTTCACATCATTCATCCACAATTGTGTTAAAGTTAAAACACAGCACAGTATGAGTTGTGCTCGGTCCTAATGTCAGAATCAGTCTGTTTTATACAAATAATGATAAAAACAAACACAATCTCCCTCTTACTTACATCAGAACTGTTTCTAATACCTCATATACTCACAGAGTGCATCGAGTAGCCTGCAATCATACAAATGTACATTTATGCATATAAACAAAAACTGTAATAACCCTCCATGAATTTTTTTCCAAAAAAATCAAATATATACAATAAAAATCTAAAGGACTGTCATCGTGTCATATTATTGTTACTGGCTGCCGTCTCTTAGCTAGACAACTCAACTTCTGCTATCAAGAACTGAGCAATATATACTTCCACCTTTAATACTATTGTCTGGCTGCTATCTCATAACTGGTACGGCAGCGGTTCAGTCTGTAGGGGATTGCACTTTGGACTGAAGGGTCGCCGGTTCCCGACCAAGAAATACGGAGTGTGGACTGGTACTGGAGAGGAGCCAGTTCACCTCCTGTGACACTGCCGAAGTGCCCTTGAGCAAGGCACCTAACCCCCAACTGCTCACTGGCGCCGGCTAGACTGGCTGCCTCCGCTCTGACCTCTCAACTGCATGTGCATATAACTGTGTGTGTATTTGTATATGTGTTTGATGTAAAAACTGTGTACTGTGTGTACCTGTATTAAAATGCGTGTACGACAGAGCGGAAACTGAATTTCCCCCTCCATCTTCTTCTTCTTACTGGATGTGTATTTTTTTAAATTGTAAATCTTCTACTTGCATCTTTAATATTTGATGTATGCTTCCTAATTAATATTAAGAGATCTTTGGCTCTTCTCTTTGCTGTAATGATGTAAACGTCCCCTCCGTGGGATGAATGAAGGTCTTCTGATTCTCATATGCAGTAATAATACAAATGCATATATTATCAAATTATAAATGCATGGACAATCCTGGCATACTGTGATCTGTGTGTAGGGAGTATCTGTTGATGTGTTAAAATCCCCTTCAGTCGACCTGTAGTTTATGACTCGTCAGGAGCATCCATAAGACATTTGTAATTCATTATAAATCACATGTGTGTTTATGAGTTTATTTATGAAGCATTATAATTGACCTCAGAATACACTATAGATATAGTCTGTGCAAAATGGAATTTACCACAATTATTTTGTATTCACTATTCTTCTTTCCTCCCTTTTATGTCCTCTTTGTCGCTCTCTTTCCTTGTTTCCTTTCCTCTTGTTTTCTATTCTCTCCTCTCCTTTGAATGTGTTAACCTCTTTGTGTTCTTAACTTCTTCTCTTTCTGCATTTCAACATTATTCCACCGTTTTCTGTTTGCGTGACCCCTCCAAACAAATCCATGTCCACTTGTTGTGAGTATCACTCAGTGGTGGACATTGATACTGTAATATGAGTCTGAATGTGCACAGAGACACAGTTCCCTCATGCCTTATCAAAGCTTTAACTTCCAGTACAGAAAAGTACCTCATGTAGGCATATTAAGTACGTGTCATAATACCGTGAGCTGTAAGCAGGAGCAGAATAAGTGATGATAAGATACACGTTCTGTTAGAGGACCGTCCATTTGGATATGCCCGTGAACACAATGGAGTCTGTGAGAGATTACAATGAGACAGTAATATTGAAATGGACATTTGGATTCATTACAATAGCAGCCGTAGTGTGCTAACGTTTCCTTTTATTTATTTACGATGTGCAAACACACCATGAGGCAAATTCATCAGATAGCAACTAAATGTGTGAAGTCCGGTTTGTGAAGTCCTCTGTTTTACTGAGTTGGCAAACAGACATAATCTGATAGAACATCTTTTATTTCAATGGACAGTTAAATATGGAAATACTCAAATGACTGAAGAGAGGAAACGCAGCAGAGCCAAGGATCACACATTTTACACACGTAGAAATAAAGATGAAATAACTTACCAGAACAATCCAATAAGTCTTTAGTGTTTCTGATCAGAGTCCAGTTTACATTTAAGTCTCCTCAATTTGACTTGAAGCAGCACTGACGTGTCACAGAGCTCTGTCTGTGAGCACAGAGCTGAGAGAGCAGCCTCCACCCCAACACACACACACACACACACACACACACACACACACACACACACACACACACACACACACACACACACACACACACACACACACACACACACACACAAACACACACACACACACACACACACACACACACACCATACAGGCACCCACACATGTATTCCTGTAAATATACCAATGTGAGGTCCAGCAGAGTGAGGACCACCCTTTCTTCGATACTAAATAAAGATATCAAAATAAAATAAATAAATCCCGCATTTCAGCACACACACACACACACACACACACACATACACGCACGCACACACACACACACACACACATACACGCACGCACACACACACACACACACACACACACACGCACACACACACACACACACACAAACACACCTTGTAAATTCACAGAGACAGACACATTCACAGGGGGATTGAGGACCACCCTTTCTTGGCTTGCCTTACCCTCTATACACAGACTAAACACACACAACTGCACTCCCACTACCTCCCCAACTCCATTATTAAATTACAACACTGTGGTCGGTCTCATCCATGATGAAGAGCGAGGTCCTGAAGTGTTCTGCCTTGTGTACTGACAACAACCTGTCCCTCAACTAAAGAACCCATCATTGACTACAAGAAACAGAGCAGAACCCCCCCCCTTATCTTTCCCCATTATTTAAAGCAGTATTTTGTACCTTACTCGTGAAATGATCAGCTTAGACTCTGTCCAGATTTATTTCTGCGTCCCCTCTGTGAAAACATGTATTGTCAGCAGAGCGTTGATGTTTAAAGCCCCAACAGACTGGAATAGTTGAGCTGCTGCTGTCAGATCCCTGTCATCATTGGGTATGTTGAAGCATCATCATCTCACTTTCAGCTGCTCTGCTCTTGTTATTGATGAAACTGATCCATTAGACGCTACAGTCTATCACATTGTAATGATTGTTTGTATTACATGAATGTTACTTAACAGACTGTACGTGGTTTGTCATGCTTTGCTTTCTGTTATTTTGTTCATGTATGTCTGTAAGACGTTGCTGTTGTCGGGACCCCCTTGAAAACGAGATGGTGCATCTGTTCTCTGTTCTGGTCTTTTTTATTACTGCAGATTTCTATTCATATTTTATTCCTTTTTTCATTCCATTCCATTGCAATGTACATACTGTTATATTTTACTATATTTGTATTATATGTTTTATTATTTTTTATAATATTTCTTCTAGTTCCCTCCCTGTGTTATTTTATTTGTATGTACGCACCATGACGTCAAGTCAAATTCCTCGTATGTGTAAACCTACCTGGTAATAAACCTGTTTCTGATTCTCAAGGGGTTTATCCTAATAAATACATTTCTATATAGACAGAGTGGAGAGGGTCTCCATCTTCATGTTCTTGGGGGTCCATGCACTATTCCACATCATCACTTTATTTTATTTTATAACTATTTTTCTTTTTGTATTGCTCTTGCTCTTATTGTTATTATGTTATTATGCTGCATTGTTGGAGAAGCCTGTGACATAAGATTTTCAACTACATAATTACTCTGTAGCTATGTCAGATTGACAATAAAGAACCTTGAACCTTGATATCTCCGAGAGCCTCAGCTGGACAGCACACAGCACTGCAGCAGTGAAGAAGGCGACTTCTCTTCCTGAGGGTGCTTCGGAAGAACAGACTGAAGGAAGAGCTGCTGGTGTCTACCGGACCACCACAGAGAGCGTGCCCACATGCTGCATCTCGGTGTGGTATGCTGGCTGTTTGGGTTATACAAATGGTGGAGAGAACCATCGGCTGCCCTCTCTGGAAGCCCTCTCCAGCTCCCGATGCCTCTCTCCTGCCTCCTGGTAGGAGATACAGGAGTTTTAAAACACGGACAAACAGACTGAAAAACAGTTTTTACCCCTGAGCCCCCAGGCTGTTCAACCTGCAGTCCTAAGGGCAACATCATTATAATTAACCAACTCATTAGCACTTTAAACACTTCTTTAATGCACTTTATAGCTTTTTATAGCTTCTTGCTTTTTAGTTCCCCCCTTGTCTATGTGTTTTCGTATGCACACTGTGAAAGGGTTGCACTACAAAATCTAATTGTATACTTTGTATAATCACAATAAAGACTTTCTATTCTATTTTACATATTGAATACATAGTCTTCTCTACTTAAAATAAAGCAATTTCAGAAATAGTGTTTTGGTTTTAAAAAACACAATAAACCAGTGATACTCAGCCTTCACTTTACTTTACTTTACATGTACCTTTTTAACCCAAAAGCCCAGAGTAAATGGTTATTATTCACTTTGTTTGAAGGAAGGACCTGATCTCTGAGAGGTTTAAAGGTGCCACATGCAGAGTGAATGCAGTCACCTACAGATATACAGTAACATGTTCACCTCATTGCTTCAAATGGAGTTCCTTCCAGTCAAAACGTCAACTTAAGGCCAACTCTTACTAATATTTTATTTTTATACTTAAATAATACGTATCAACTTGAAGACACAATGATGTCAGTTCTTGTATTTTTGATCCATTTTCCACCCTTAGGGCAGGATCATTTGATAAGTGATCAGAAATGTGCAAATGAGCCCATCTGTGCAGCCAATGGGGTTGTGTGGATAAACCTTCCTGAGGTGATTGGTGGCTGGAAGGCCAACAGGACAGTGTGAAGAGGTTTAGAAAGCTCCACTGTGGCACCAGGAGGGCAGACTCTGGCAGAGATGGCAGGCATGATGACAGGTCTTCTCCTTTTGCTGTTGGCCGGTGAGTATCAGCTCCTACTCAGACTTCTGCTGCCTACTTTCACCATTCTTATGCTCTGAGATAGCACTTAGGTGAGTTAAGTAGTTTGAGTTGAGTTGAATTTCAAACAGTTTAGAAAGCCAGTGTGTTGTTGTCTTTTCTTCTGAAACCCATCAGGATCCTGGAAGCTGAATTCCAGATCAGATTTCATTTAGTGTTTGTTATAAAGGATCAGATGTTATCTGTTCTCTGTAAACTGTTCTGTTCTGTAGCTAATACTTTCAGTGTGATTATATACTTCTACCTCCTGAATCTGCTTCATGGTTTTCACTTTCTTTGCTTCATTTGTTCTGTTTTTAATTCAGCAGGTGAACCTATATGTTCATAAAATAGTGTGTGTGAGCTTAACTGTGTGTTTCAGTGTTGGTGTATAGGCTACTGAGTATGCTGAATGAAAGGCAGGTTTTACTATAAATCCCCCAAAATCTAATCCTAAATATCTTGGTTTCTTCTTTTCTAAGATCACTTTGTTCTGTTGTCTTACATAATACACTTCAGTAAAAAACATCTCATTGATATTTATTTTCTCTTCTATTACGTTGCACTGCATTTGATATTGAGGTAATCCAAAAGTAACAGAAAGTAATCAGGTTACATTACTTTATATTTTGAGACTCAGATAAAGTTACTCATTACATTTGTTTATGGGTAATTAGTTAGTGTTTTTAAAGTAACCCTCCCAACCCTCTCTACAACAACCACTGTGTTCAACTTTCAGTCTCCTGGTGGTGGGTTTTCTCTTTCAGGTGTGACAGTGGGCAGAGTGGTGGATCTGCAGAAGAGAATATACGGAGGTAAAGAATGTGCTGCTACTGAACGTCTGCACCATGTGAGGCTGAGAAAAAGTGATGGGAAAAAGAACGGCCTGTGTGGTGGAACTCTGATCAGTAAGGATTGGATTCTGACTGCAGGTCACTGTGTGCCGGAAGTGGGGTGAGAAAGTTTTACTTAAAATACGTAGATACATTAAATCTGAAAAACAATTAATAGAAACAAACATTTAAATAACATAAAATATCATGTCTTCATGTTAAATAACCCAAACCATTACAATCTGATGCATTTGCAGTCATGTATTGATGTCACTCTTTCAACTTAAATTATTTGCAGGACGAAAAGCGTGAAAGCATTTCTAGGTGTGAATCGAGATGGCGAAGAAAACCCAGTTGATATCAATATCGATCATATTCGAAGATATAAAGAAGGCGACGGTACGCCCCATGACATCGCGCTGCTGAAGTTACCTGCGTCGTCGGGATTGAAACCTGCATCACTTCCTGACTGTAGCAAACCTCCTCCCCAAATGTGAGTTGTGATCTTAAATAAGTCGGAAAGTGAAACTCCTAAGGAACTCAAACTGAGATAAACCTCTGACATCTTTTTATGAATGTTACATATTTTTCTTGTATTTCAGAGGTCAAACAGTTCAGATTGCAGGTCATATAACCACATCGATAGACAAGAACGATAAGAAAGGTGAGAACTGAATTACTTTTGAAGTTATAAGTTTGTTAAACATTTTTTAAACTTTGCATTATCATATTTTAAAGGAGAGGTGTCATGCTTTTCCGGTTATTACCCGTCCCCTTGTGTGTTATGAAGGTTTTTATGCATGTAAACGGTGTGCAGAGTGAAAACCCTCAAAGTACACCCTGTAGCGAGTAAAACTCATGATACGGCATGATGTCAAGCCGTACCCGGAACGAAATGGACCAATCCGTGGAGCCGTTACGTTACATCCGCGGAGCCGTTACGTTAAGCCCCCGCTGATTGGTCCAAATTGACCAATCCACGGACTTCCTCACACACACATCTGTGTGCAGGGAGCAGGCAGCTCAGCTGATTTCTCCTCCCTGGCTGCAGGCTGATAACAGACAGTTGGGATCGCGGCGACATTCTCTCTGCAGACCCATTCTCTCTGCAGACCCATTCTCTCTGCAGACCCATTCTCTCTGCAGACCCATTCTCTCTGCAGACCCATTCTCTCTGCAGACCCATTCTCTCTGCAGACCCATTCTCTCTGCAGACCCATTCTCTCCGCAGACCCATTCTCTCCGCAGACCCATTCTCTCTGCAGACCCATTCTCTCTGCAGACCCATTCTCTCTGCAGACCTATTCTCTCCGCAGACCCATTCTCTCTGCAGACCCATTCTCACAGCGTTTATCAACCTTTTTCTTACTCAATATCAAGCCACACTTATTGTTTTTACTTCGGATGTGAGTTTGTGTGTGCTCAGGATGAGTTTGGCTGTGTTTCGCTATGTATCCTAAACAAGGAAACAACACCTCCACGGAGCTCAGCGCGATTCACAACGTCCCGACCAATCAGAGCACACTGTGCTCACAGGGAGGGTGGGGGCTGGAGCTATTGGAGCTACAACGAGCCGTTAAAGGCAGAGAGTGAAATTCAGTGAATACACGTAGTTTACAGAGATGCTGTTTGAGAAACCAATGTGAGTTTGGAGAGATGCACAGTATAAATCTATTCTAGTACACCTCAACAATGGAATTATGATCAGTGGAAATGGCCATGACACCTCTCCTTTAACATATTTATAAAACATTGAGTATTTACAACCAACATAAGAAAAAAAATACAAAAATGTTATGTCGTAACAAGTGAAGTTTGATTCTTGACTTTTTTCCTTGTGTATTGAATATTGAGTTCTGAGAGGAGAACCAGCCCAGGTTCACAGGTCATGGAACATATGTTTCTTTCTGTTGGCATTTTCATTGTAATTGTTGAGATGCAGCCGATTAGGGAGAGTAGTTTGTTCCAGCTGTTACAGGCCACTGGCTCCTTTAAGAAGGGCCTAACATCCTTTCTTTAAAAAAAAGCCTTTTATTAAACTTGTGTTTTTAAGTGTGTATTTTATGCCCCTTGTAGCACTTTGTGATTGCTTTTAGCAATGACAGGTGGTTTACAAATAAAATGTATTGTCATTATTATGTATCCAATAAAGTAACATTTCTTTGAATGTACATGGTCAGTAGAAAATGTAGTAAAACACACCTTTTGATATTCTCATCTAGTAAGCCACAAGACAGCACGTCTCCTATGTGCAGAGATCAACGTGGTCCAGTGTAAGCCCCAGACATGTCAATATGGATATTATACTCCATATCTCTTCTGTTACCAAGGAACTGGAGTGGATGCAGGGAAAGTGAGTTGGCCTTATTTACTAGTTTGTAAGTATTCAAGTAAATGATGCAAAAGTCTGTGTTTAACAATTTGTCTGTCTGTCTGTCTGTTTGTCTATCTCTCTCTCTCTCTCTCTCTCTCTCTCTCTCTCTCTCTCTCTCTCTCTCTCTCTCTCTCTCTCTCTCTCAGGGGGACTCTGGTGGAGGAGTGGTGTTCAACGACAGGATTTACGGAGTGCATGTTAGCAGTGTTATAACGGCTTGTGTTGAAGCACGAGCTACGGATGTCTGTAAATACATAAGTTGGATCACTACGGAAACCAAGATTCCCATACCATCAAAATGATCAACCTGTACATTTGATTGTTTTTCTTGTTTTAAAGGGTGAGAGGTCGTGTAATTTAACAGACCTTCACACGTATTAAAACATTCTGATTGACTCTAAATTGGCTGATGATACATTTACAATTGGTTGGTTTACATTAAATATTCAACTCTTATTAGAAAAGCTCTTTAAGATCATTTTAGAAGGTAGTGTCTGAGTTATAAATGTTAGTTTAAACATTCTTGTCTGCAAACGTTTGTTACGGTACAAAATAAAGATGTATGTTTTTCCTCTTTTCAAATTTAATTTAGGAACCCAATTGCAAAATTATAACCTTTTATAAATACAACAGAATTTGCACACTATTATACAGAGTTTGTATTTTTAAAACGACAAATGGCCAAATATATAATATAATAATATAGTCTGTTATTCTTGTGAGCATGCTGATCTCATTCTCTGGTAGCTCAATCTGAAGTAATGCATGTAATTCTTGTTTCCCACAAAATCAACTTCTTGTATAATGTTGTCATTTAAAATAAAAGAAAGAGTCAAAATCAATATTTCACTGATTGTTTGTTTCTTTATGAATACAGCGTCACATGAACACATTTCTGTACAATTCAACTAATCAATATCTTTGAACCTGCAGTAACAGTTTGTGTCCATGTGGGGGCAGCTCGTTTTAATATTGATCATAGTTGCTGTATGTTACTAATCGATGAGATGACTATCTTACAGCAGTCTGCTTCTCTGGTCAGGATGTATTCAGGGTGCCCTAGTTTTTTACAGTTCTGTCCACACAACCCCATTGGCTACACAGATGGGCCCATTTGCACATTTTTGATCACTTATCAAATGTTCCTGCTCTATGGCTGAAAAATGGATCAAAAACTGACATCATCATGTCTTCAAGTATATAAGTATTATTTTATTATAAGAAAATATCAGTAAGATTATATTTTTCTTATCGGGTGGGGGCGTCTTCTATTACTCATTATCTAACACCAACTGTGGGCTTTAGGAATACACTCTATGAACATGCTCTATATCAACAGCCATTGGACATTAACCAGAGGTGGAGAAGTACTCAGATCTAGTACTTTAGTAAAAGTAGAAATACTCAGATATTTTACTTGAGTAAAAGTAGAAAAGTATTATCATCAAAATATAGTTAAAGTACACATCTTGGTTTATCCGACCTTCACAAATGAAGCCTACTTCAAAGACAGAGGAGTTACGTATTGCAAAGCCACCAGTTGTGATCGTGTTGTCCGTAGTCTGAGTTGATCCTGAGATGATTAACTGTTTGAACTGTTTGAATACTGACCACTTGTGTTGCCACATGTTCACCGTGTATGTAAACGTTCTGAAGAGGGAGAAGGTCGTCCTCTCCGATCAAGCTTAGGGAGTGATGGATTACATTGAACAGGATTATGGAAACAGTGAACAAAGAAAGGGGTGACTCTATTCCCCTACTGGAACATGAACACAACAGGTTTATAATGTTACAATACATTTACAATAAAGAACACAAGTTACTAAACTCATACTCACACATTGCTTCACTCACTCTCACATCACCTCGAAACGAGTGCTTTTTGGTTTTAGTTTAGAAAACGTTCATTCTTCTGTTTTACAATATATTTCTTTAAACGCTGTGAACACCTGATTAAACACAAATACTGTGTACTGTGTTTGCTTTGAAGTCATGTACTCACTAAATCAGCATTAGTACACTACTCTCTATCCTGTAGGCTTAGCCTTTAATGTAAACTGAAGTTCTGTATATCTGCTGCATGTCAGTAGGAGGACACCTGATGTGTTTACAATACTGAAGATGCTCTTAATACATTAACTGTAGTTAGAGCATTTAGTGTTTGTTGTGAAAGATCAGCTGTTCTCTGTTCTCTGTAAACTGTTCTGTTCTCTAATACTTTAAGTGTGAATCTATATATATATATATATATGCCTGAATCTGCTTCATGGTTTTCACTTTCTTTGCTTCCTTTGTTCTGTTTTTAATTCAGCAGGTGAACCTATATGTTCATAACATAGTGTGTGTGAGCTTAACTGTGTGTTTCAGTGTTGGTGTATAGGCTACTGAGTATGCTGAATGAAAGGCAGGTTTTCCTATAGAATCAATCATTTATAATCCTAAATATCTTGGTGTCTTCTTTTCTTAGGACACATTCTTCTGTTGTCTTACATACTGTAATACACTTAAATAAAAAAACATCTCATTGATATTTATTTTATCTTCTATTCATTTGCACTGCATTTGATATTGAGGTAATACAAAAGTAACAGAAAGTAATCAGGTTACATTACTTTTATATTTTGATACTCAGATCCAGTTACTCATTACATTTCCTCATCACGTAACTGACCCTCCCAACCCTCTCTACAACAACCACTGTCTCCTGGTGGTGGGTTTTCTCTTTCAGGTGTGACAGTGGGCAGAGTGGTGGATCTGCAGAAGAGAATATACGGAGGTCAAACATGTGCTGCTAATAAACGTCTGTACCATGTGAAGCTGATAAAGGATGTGACAATCACACTGGTTTGTGGTGGATCTCTGATCAGTGAACAGTGGATTCTGACTGCAGCTCACTGTGTGACGAAAGGGAGGTGAGAAAGATTTACTTTAATTATTTACATACATTCAATCTAAAAACAAAAAATATGATTTGAGACAAAAATGTACTTGTCTTGTGTCCATGTTAAATAACCTCAACAATTACAATTTGATGCATTTGCAGTAATTTACTGGTGTCACTCTTCAAACTTTAATTATTTGCAGTACGGTGTTAGCAATTCTAGGTGTGCATCCAGGTGGCAACGCAAAACAAAAACCTCTTGTTATCAATATCAAACATATTGAAATATATGACAAGAATGGCATCCATGACATCGCGTTGCTGAAGTTACCTGAGCCTGTGGAGGGATTTGATATTGTAAATCTTCCTGACTGTGAGAAACGTCCTGTCAAGTGAGTTGTGATCTTAAATAAGTCAGAAAGTGAAACTCCAAAGGAACTCAAACTGAGATAAACCCCTGACATCTTTTTATGAATTGTAAGTCTGTTTCTTGTATTTCAGAGGTGAAGAAGTTCAGATTGCAGGACTTGGAGCCACAGATGGTGAGATGAATCTTGTTTTTTTTACAATAAATACTGCACACTGAGTTCTTTTTTAAGTTATAAGTTTGTTAACGTTTGTAAAAACGTTGTATTATCATATATTAACATATTTATAAAACATCGAGTTTTTACAACCAACATAAGAAAATAAATAAATACAAAACATGTTATGTCGTAACAAGTGTAGTTTGATTCTTGGCTTTTTTCCTTAAAATGTATTAACTATTGAGTTCTGAGAGGAGAACCAGCCCAGGTTCACAGGGTCATGGAAAATAGGTAGTTTCTTTCTGGTAGGATTTTATTTTAATTGTTGAGATGCAGCCAATTAAGAAGATTGGTAGTTTCTTCCAGCAGTTAGGTGTCCAGGGAAGTTGGTAACATTGTTGAAAAATATTTACATACACAGGAAAAACATGAATTTAAAATGTGTTTCACTGTACATACAAGATCAGTAGATAATGTAGTATAACAAACCTTTTGATGTTGTCATCTACAGTAAATGGATTACATATGCCAGCCACTCTCCAATGTGCAAACACCATGGTGGACGACTGTGTGATCACATGCAATCTCAATAAAGTGATCAATTTCCATACATTTGAAAAAGTGTTCTGTTATCAAAAAAATGGAGTGGATACAAGACCCGTGAGTTGACCTGATTAACCAGCTTGTAATAAATAAGTATTCCAGTAAATGATGCAAAAGTCTGTGTTTAACAACTTGTACATATATTTCTCTCTCTCTCTCTCTCTCTCTCTCTCTCTCTCTCTCTCTCTCTCTCTCTCTCTCTCTCTCTCTCTCTCTCTCTCTCTCTCTCTCTCTCTCTCTCTCTCTCTCAGGGGGACTCTGGTGGAGGAGTGATGTTCAACAAGATGATTTACGGAGTGCATATTCGCGGTTATAATGAGACTTGTACTGGACCATCAACAGCTATGGACCTCTGTGCAGACGAATACAAGGTCTGGATCGAAGGGCTTACCGGTCGTCGCTTTCCATGATAAAGTTTACATTAAATATTCAACTCTTATTAGAAAAGCTCTTTAAGATTATTTTAGAAGTAGCGTCTGAGTTATAAATGTTTTATAAATACAAAATAATTTGCACAATATTATACAGTTTGCATTTTTAAAACAACAACTGGCCAAATATATAATATAATAATATAGTCTGTTATTCTTGTGAGCATGCTGATCTCATTCTCTGTTAGCTCAATCTGAAGTAATGCATGTCATTCTTGTTTCCCACAAAATCAACTTCTTGTTTAATGTTGTCATTTAAAATAAAAGAAAGAGTCAAAATCAATATTTCACTGATTGTTTGTTTGTTTATGAATACAGCGTCACATGAACACATTTCTGCTCAATTCAACTAATCAATATCTTTGAACCTGCAGTAACAGTTTGTGTCCATGTGGGGGCAGCTCGTTTTAATATTGATCATAGTTGCTTTATGTTACTAATCGATGAGATGACTATCTTACAGCAGTCTGCTTCTCTGGTCATGATGTATTCAGGGTGCCCTAGTTCTTTACAGTTCTGTCAACACAACCCCATTGGCTACACAGATGATCACTTGGCTGAAAAATGTATCAAAAAACTGACATCATCGTGTCTTCAAGTATATAAGAATTAATTTATTATAAGAAAATAACAGTGAGATTATATTTCTCTTATCGGGTGGGGGCGTCTTCTATTACTCATTATCTAACACCAACTGTAGGCTTTAGGAATACACTCTACAGTGTTTTGCAAAAGTATTCACCCCCCTTGCAATGTTCCCTATTTTCTTGCAAACAAAAATAATATAATATTGTTGGGCGGATTTTATGGCAAGACCCCAAACAAAGTCAGTCAAAATTGGTGAAGTTAAAAAAAGAGCACGTTTTAAAACATAAAAAATAATAAAAAACTGAAAAGTGGTGTGTGCATATGTATTCACCCCCTTTGCTTTTTAGCCCAAACAAAGACCTTCAGAATCACACAATTATTTAAATAAAGTCCACCTGTGTTAAATCAAGTGCCTCATTGTCTCTGTATATATACACCTGCTGTAGAAGGCCTCTGTCCTCCATACCACAGCAAGTGGCCTTTCTAAGTGAGAAAACGACACCATGAAGACTAAAGAGCTCTCCAAACAGGTCAGGGACAAAGTTGTGGAAAAGTATGAGACAGGGTTGGGTTATAAAAAAACATCCCACGAAGCACCATTGAATCCATTATTTTAAAATGGAAAAAATATGCCACGACAACTAACCTGCCAAGAGAGGGCCGCCCACCAAAACTCTCACACCGTGCAAGGAGAGCATTGATCAGAGAGGCAACAAAGAGGCCGAGGATAACCCAGAAGGAGCTGGTAAAAGAAGCCATTGCTTAAGGCAAAACAAATAAGAAAACATGTTTGGAGTTCTCCAAAAGGCATG